GCATGTTAAGCCCTGGGAGAGCAAAGGAGAGAAAGAAACAGGAGACTGCTTCGGGTTTTCGTAAGCCAATGACTTCAGTCCCTGAATCAAAGTTACTGGTTATGTAAATCCAAAATGACACAAGTCTTGCCCTGAACCCCTTCATTCTGTGACGTACCATCAACACCATCTGCTGTTTCGCTTTCTTCTTCTTCTTCTTCTAGCATTTCAAAAGGAGTCATTATATCATAGAGAAATGAGAGGAACCCATAAAACCAATCTGAACTCTCCTCTGCTAAAATATTAAGGACTTCCTCAAGAGAATCAATATTTTCATTACTGCCATCTTTGGTCAGGCCTACATAAAGAATAAAGGAAGAGAGAAAGAGAAAATAAGGAGAGCAGTTAGGTGGAAAAAAGAAGTTGAGGAAGAGTGATCTCAAAAAGGATGTGCATCATGGTCACAGAAGTTTACGGAAAAGGTATTTTGGAAAATAAAGAAGCTGATTAAGATGCACACCTTACAATCAACTCTCAATCGTATGTCCCACAGGAAAGGCACAATTGCACCAATCCTCATTCCTACCAGCCCCTAACCAGGGCTTTGCCTTTCTCTCGGTAGAGAGTCTAGAGTCCCAAACACAAAATTGTTATCGGCCAAAATCAACTGATTTAATATCAGTGGGAAGAACGAATGAAAGCAGTATCAGGGTATAAAGATAGACACTTCTGACAACCTCCACATTTGCTGATTTACCGACCAGATATTATCGAGAGTTGATTATACAAGCATTTACATGTAACAGTACATATTCACTGAAGAAAATAAAAAGGTTCATCTCCTCACACTTTTCCCCTTAGGGCCCAGAGTTACCTTAAGAAACTCTGGAATTAACATGACTAGCAAGATTACTGTTTATAGCATCCACAGATGGACATATAAATATATTCAAGTTATATCAGATAATCAACTTAAATTTTAACACTCTAAGATGTTAGCAGTGTTTGCAGTGTTCTGGCTACTGACTCTTGGTCTTGTAATTCTGACCAATAATAATGAGTCAGCTACTAATAATAATTCACTCTGGTGACCCATACTGAATTGGATCAAGGTCCCAGTCAGTCATTTGCAATAGGAATATTCCAAGGTTCTCTTTCCATAGGCCTAAGATATAAGCTTCTACCGCAAAGACCTCTGGCTCCTGTTTGGGTTTTGTTTCATTTTGTTTTGTTTTAAGTGTCAGTCCCAAAACAGGCTATCCTGATGGAAAGCAAAGTATATATTGTTTTTATCCTATTTTTTTTTTTCCTGTGAAGAACTGGCTTTGGGTAAGAAACCTCTCTTGGCCCAGTAAATATAAAAATCCACCAATATTGCCAAGTCCTATATAACAACACACATAATTTTGAAAAAGAAAAGAAAAACCCAGGGTAGAGGGCTCTGAGTGTAAGAAATGTGAACATCCATGACTTTAGAGCTTTTCAAATTATATAACCACCTAATTCAAGTAGGTCAGGCTTGGGCAATTCAAACTTTCTCCATGTAGCATAACACTCAGCAATCAATAGTGGCAGCTAAGCTATACCAATAAGATACCTAGTATGAATATTAAAGCATACAGTGTATTTCCCCCACTTTAGTCCATAGAAAAGCTACATCATATCATTCTTCATGTATAGGGGGGATAGGAGAAAACAAATTGCACTTGGTATTTTTGGTATTTAAATTGCTTTCTGATACAACTAGAATATTTTTCACTGAATTTAACAGTTGACAAGGGCTATGAACCAAGGTCTGTATTCCGATTCAAATCTCTGTGGGAGTAATATCGTTTCTTCTGCTTGCCTTTACTGCAGCTGTGTATTCACAATAAACATGTTTCTTTTTCTCCATTTTCAAAGATTAGTACTTCCAAGTATCAAGTATAAATTATAAAGCTTTACTACCCTTCAGTATGACAGGCAGAAGTGTTCAACAAATATGCAGAAGTATCTGAACAAAACTATGACCCAAATGTGCAACCTTCTTGTGGTTCTTAAGACAAAAATACGACTTAGAGGAGAAAAGGAGAAATATTCTAGGGGTAGAATTCCTCAGCCGCTGAGAGCAGGCCTGAACCCAAGGGCGGAAGTGAATGCCTTCGAGTGGACAAGATCCAGTTCACTCATGCGTGCATCTGGTCTACAAAAGCTTATCAAGTATCAAGGCTCTAGGAATTGTTGATGGCCTTCCCTTCTGTTCTCCAGCCACACCTGATATGGTGCCAGCTAGGTGCTAATCACAGACAAAAGCACAATCATGTAATCGTTAGATGGTGCTACTCTAAGCATGGAGTCCTTGGATCATTTTCCTGTAAATTTTATTCAGGAAACAAGTTTTCAAAGAACACAATGTCCAGCAATGTAGTTTTCAATAACCTGAACCATTATCAAAGATACTTTCCTTTAAGTAGGAAGTATGTAAACTAGAACGGGCTTAGAATATTTTCAAAGTATATCTTAAGGGCCATGGCCAGAAACAGTGAAATAAAATTAATGATGGCTATTCAGAATATCTTGATTTACCTACACATATTTCATTCTTTCTTTATATTTCACAAGAAAAAACAAATCTTAAGATGGGAAATGTAAATATGGATGGGTACATTTCCTCAAACTGGTGACATTAGGTATATGCAGATTTAAGAATGCAGAAAGAAATACTTATGAAAGAAATGCCAACCCCATGAAAGCTCAGCATATCTCAAACGCTACTACATCCACAAGCCAAGCTCCCCCTTAATCTCCAGCTCCCTACCTGTGTCTGCCCCTTTGTGCCTTAACCCAAAACCCATACCCTTGAGCAGCTCTCCAGTGAGAATGTACCCAAGAAGTCTGGTTTATTTTGGGATAGACACTCACTGAATTTGCCCCCCTCCCCCCATAACCTTTCCCTGAACACATAGAGCCCATTACTATCTCTGTAACCCAAGAATTCACCAGGCTCTCTCTTTGCAACAATCTGCCAGGAACACAGGCACAATTAAGCTACGATAACCTCACAAACTAGAAAAGAACTTTAGTTATAAAATTCAATTCCAGTCAAGCTTGTATTTCATGCAGAGAATTCAATCATCATAGAAATAAGGTCCAAAGACATAAGTGAGCCTGACCGCTCACCTTTGGTTTGTTTCAGCTGTGAAGCCACAGGCTGTGAATTAGTACATGTATATGGTTAGACAGTTTATCTTAGCTGTCATCCATTTAATAGTCAAATTACCAGAATGAATGCTGAGATTCACCAAATTTGGTTCTACCTCTAAATATATAATTTTTATAAAAGGAACAAGTTATAATTTGCCCATACCACATATAGGTCTATTGTAAATGGCAATGTTCCAAGTTATGATAAATTAACCTCTTAATGGTTGCTTAAAAACATTATAGGAAATAAACTCCCACAATCTAAAATACTAAAAATCAAGTTACTATTGTATTTGCTATAGAAATCAGTGTGTTCTATAGGAAAAATAATATATTTTAATATTTAAAAGTTGATATTCCCTGACAAACCACATAGCTAATTTTCAGCCAAAAAAAAAACCAAACAAACAAAAAAAAACACAACCAAATATAGCAGATGAGAAGTATGATTATCTCTAAAAATGAGGAGGCATGGCCCACATGAAGTTATCTTTATGGGTTTTAGAACCCATCTTTATCTATTCAGAACCCATCGTTTAAAGTAAAATAATACAATGGAGTAATAAACCATTTATAGGCAAGCAAATTAGCATCATTCCAATATGTTAATTTCTATATATTTTACTTCTTTTACATGTCTTGGATTATAGTCTTCTGAGGACTTACTATATTTGTAGAAAAATTTAGATTTGTAATGACAACATTACACAGAAAATTCCATTAAGGTTAAGACAGGGGAAAAAATTTCATAGATAGTAAGTTTTCCACTGGTAAGGAGCAAACATAATTCCCACTGGGCAGTAATAAGAAAACAGAAACTAAGGTCAAAATTAAGAAGCTAAATTACATTTAATCACAACTACACCTTATTTTTCATATTTAAAGCTTACTATTCTATAAGGAGGTTAAGATTAATCTGCTGAAAACTATACCATTGGTTCTAGATGTGATATCCACCCATTTTTCTTCTCATCCATAAAATAGACACAAAACTGTGTGTCTACAATGAATGCCTTTGCACTATTACTCTAGCGAGCATAGTGGACATTACCAGGCTGTATCTGTTATTTGTCTAAGTAGTTTTGTATACACAATTTTAATGCATGTAACACTACATAGTAAAGCAAAGGAAGTGATGTTATTTCACAAGCGGAAACACACATCTCACCAGGCCAGATTATATAAAATCTGCATATTAAAATTAGCACCATCCTTTCTGGGAAGGCAGCATTTTAAAACAAACGAGGGAATATCATATATTTATATATTACAAGAAATATCTCAATGATAAAAGACAGGTAATTCTAGTGATAGAGAAAGGTTCAGATTTCTGAAATAAAGAAACCCAGCCAATAACTACTGGTTCATATTTTAATATTACCTTTAAAATATGCATAGGACATTTCAAATGTTTAGCTCCAACATTTTATTTCAGAATGAATTTATGTAAGCCTTTAGAAACTTACATTTTCAAATGGAAGTGAATTATGTCAACTGATGATAATGAATGGCTATAATTACTATATCTGAAAACAAGCTAGTACATTATCTATATGTGCAAATATTAAGTTCAGAATATGAAGTGTTTTAAATCTGAAAATAGAGATGAAATTATTAGGCTTATAAAAATATTATGTGCAGGAGCTATATATTTATCCACATATAAAAGTAAATTGAAATGTGAGTCCATGGAAAAACAATTAAGCCATCAACATGTCAGTAAGAATTACATATATAATTAAACTGGGAAAATATCTTCCATAAAATGTGTATGACATAGATATTATTAAGGCAAAGATACTGTTTTGTTTCCAGCAAAAAATAAAAAATCTACTTGCCTAATAAAACTTTGGCATCATCCACATCAAAATCTCCATCACCATCAGCATCATAGACTCCTAGTTTTCCTGCAAAGGGGAGGAAAAGATGTATGGGAAGAAAGAGGAAAAACATTTGATAAGGTATTACCACTTACTTCAGTCTTGAACATCAGCCATAAATGTTACCAAGCAATGCATTTCTTGGCTCTCTGAATCCCGAAAATCCCAACTAAATATCTTACCTACAAATGACAGGCAATTCGCTCACAGATTCAGGAAGTGTTTGACTAACAATCTAACGGAGATAATATTTTCTTTAAAGTTTTAATAGTACTCTGATTTAATCCTTTCGGAAGAATTTTATTATGCTGCTAAAAAAGATTTTAGGTAAAATTTTCAACATATAGACGAAACATTACTGATTTCTATCTAACATGAAACTTAAATGCATCTAAAGGATGAAAGTTCCTACCACCAAAGGAAGGCCCACCAGACTAAATACAAATAATTAATATTTATTAACATCAAGTATAAATACTGAAAATAAGAGGGAAATTAATTTTAAATTTTATAAAATAATTATTCACAATGGAAACATCTTAAATCAACCTTAAAAAAGACTTCTGGAAATAAAGTATGTAAAACTGGCTTCCTGAAATTCAAAGGAAAACTTAGTTATCCCACCTAAAACTTAATTAGCGCTGGCTATCAAAGAAAAAAAGAAAAGAAAACAAAGCTTAAAACTGACAACCTGAGAAGACAATACTACCAGAGACTTTCCTCATCAAGCAGAATAGATACGTATCTTAAGGCTTTACTCCCTAGGAGCGCGGCTATATTTAGCACTTCAACTATGAGTCAAATACATTCAACCCTAAAAATCATCTTAAAATCAACATGATTTATAGCTCATCATTGGATCATGGTTGTGAAGAGACATAACGTGCAGAAATATTTCAAACAACAACCACAAATACAGCATTAGTACTAAGACACCAATCTGTAGTACTGTTATCTCTTTAAGAATAAGTAAATTAAAACACTGCCTATCAGCAGACAGAACTTTCGGAGGAGAGTGGCTGTGATCAACCTTTACTTTCCCAGAGCCCTTGTGCTACTGAGGGAAACAGTTAACTTGCTATGTGGAAGTCTGGTTTAGAAAGCACATTAAAAATGATGATGATGATGATGATAATAATAGTGATAGTAGTGATGGAGAGATAAGGGAGTATTGTTTCTATTGCTAAGAAAAATATAAATAAAAAGCACTAATCTGCAGGTCAAGGCAGTCCAGAGCACAGAGCTCAAGTGGAACTAAAACACAGAAAATACCATACTTTCTGACAAATTTAACGGGGGAAATTGGTGCTGCCACTTATATTCTCTGATGCATAAAATAAGCATGACGTTTTAGAGACCATCACAAGTAGACTTAGAATGCATCTCCAACAGCCTACCTTGAAGTACCTCTGATAAGTTATAGCGGAAGTCCTTTGCTTTGGCTGCATGCATGTAAAAACATGAAAATTGTTACTTGCTCTTAAATATACAATAATTTTAAATCTCTTCTTTGGTTTAATAGTCGTTCCCTAGCAATGTATCATGGTTAAGTCAACAAAAGCACAGATCTACTCAGAAGTTTGTCTCTAAACTAAAATTCTTCCTCTTTTACTCTCGGAGTCTATCCAGAGACCTCTCCTTCAGTAACCATGGAAAGCTTCAACCAACGGGAGATTACACATAAGCGTGTTTTGCCTCCTCCCCCCCCAACCCCGAAAGATGTCTGTAATCTAACATCTAAAGCAGAAGGCTTTATGGAAGAGAGGGGATTTTTCTATGCAACCCGGTGCACAGAGAACAGCATGGGTTTTGCTTTCAGTGACAGGGTCCACTTTTTTCAGTGGATTATTAAAGAGGAACACCACTTAATCGCAATAGCCAAAAAGTGGAAACAACCCAAATGTCCATCACTGATGACTGGATAAGCAAAATGTGGTGTGTTTCCATACAATGGAATATTATTCATCCATACAATAGAGTACTGAACCTTGAAAACAGTATGCTAAATGTAAAAAGGCAAACACAGAAGACCACATATTGTATGAATCCATTTATATGAAATGTCAATAAGCAAAGCACAGACACAGAAAGTACATTAGTGTTTGCCAGTAAACTGTACATTTTCACATATTAACAATATCGAACTTTATGTTGTTATGTGAATTTTACCTCAATTTAAAAAAAGACATCATAAGATAGAAAAAAAAAAAAACCAAGGAGTATGACTCCAAAAATGGTAATGAATCATTAATGTCAAAAGTCATGAACAACTGCAGTGATTACTGGGAGAGAAAAAGAAAAATCAGGAGAAAGGAAGACAAGTATCAGAAATCACATGGCAACCGCGTCAACAGCATACAGACAGCACCTAACATGCACACACCTCCACACACACATGCACAACCCTATCCCAACACCTCCACACACACCCCCCACACCCCATCCCAGCACATACACACCTCTATTCCAACACCTACACATACAGACACCCCCCCACCTCCACACACACACACACACACACACACACCCCTATCCCAGCACATACACACCTCTATGGCAACACCTGAACATATAGACACCCCCCCGACACACACACCCCTATCCCAGCACCTACACACCTCTATTCCAACATCTACACACACGTACAACCTATCCCAGCACTAATACACACACACACACACACACACACACACACACACACACACACACCCCTATCCCAGCACCTACACACCTCTATTCCAACATCTACACACACGTACAACCTATCCCAGCACTAATACACACACACACACACACACACACACACACACACACACACACACACACGCATACACAGATTCATTCCAAAAAGAAGGGGTGTGCTTCAAAATGCTAAGGAACGATCTTGCAAATTGGGTCCTGAAATAAATTCAGGGGCTCATGAATGTTTTAAATTCATAATATAACAAGATGAACAGAATTTAGAGTACTGCATTTCCTAAGAGTTAAGTACCATTTGATACAACTTTTCTGTGTGACACACATACAACATAAAGCCTTGTTTTTTTTTTAACTACAGGTCATGTTCAAAGAAGACAAGAGCCCTCGCCCCCAGGTAGTGCTGCTAACTACCCCTTGTTCTCACACTGTTGAGAACAACCGAGAGGCTGCAGAAACTTAGAGTACCCCCCAAATAATGACAAACCTTTAAGATTACTAAAGGATGTCTTTTACACTTTTACAAATTCACATAAGAAATGACACCACAATTCTTACCTAAAACTTCCTCATAATCAACGAGATCAAACCAGACGACAGCGACAGACGTCCACACTCCCAGCAATGCAATGACCATAAACCACGTGAAAAAGGAACTTCCAGAAAGTCCTCCTTTCCTCCCATTTTTCTGTCCTCCGTGCTTTGTATCTGTTTAAAAATAAAACAGATGAACAATGCCATTATATAAGGCGACACCTTATTAAAAGCCTCTTTTTGCTGAACTATTTCTCCAGGGATTTGAAAGTACTTACACTGGTAAATCATTTCACAAACAGCTTTCACTCAAATTCTCAAAACATGTTACGCAAAATAAAGATGTTGAAACAGAAAAGATTCTGTTTAGACTTGACATCACATATGTGAAAACTCTGACTTAAAAGAAACGAAAGAAATAAACTACTCATTGGCTAACAATTTTTTAAAAATAAAGTTTGATACAACATGTGTATTATCTTATATGTAATACATATAATATGCACACCTTCTTTCTAAGTTCTTTGCCCAAACCCCGTAAATATAACCTCCTCCAAAGTTCAGTGCATTATCAACGACTTAATGAAGTCCTATAGAAATGTAGCCAAATCCTTTCCTCTGACTCACTTAAGTGTCTGTAGAATCTTTTAAAAGCCTCTTAATGGCCAAAGAAAATGGCTCCCCCCAAAAAAGGCTCTATATTCTTAGCCAAAGAGACAGAAGAAGGAATGAGACTATTTAGAGGAAATAGAGGTCAGGGAAGAAGGTGAAATGGTACAACCACCAGTCCCCTCCTTGACAAATCCCCTGGGGTCCAAGGAAGCAGGAAAAGGCCCATCAAGCACCATCGGTCTCCATGCAGGAAACAGCTTTGTAAACGCTGTCTGCTGTGTGTCATTTATCACACTGGGTGTGTTTAATACACCTTCTCTTCTTCAGGAAATATTCTTACAGCCCAAAGTAAACAAACAAACAAAAAAAGACAGTCAAGTGACACTGAGAGAAAATGGTCAACACTGGCCTTGAAAGAAAGTAGTATTCAAATTTCTCGTAAGAAGTAATATAATAAATATTGTTAAAAGGATAGGTCATATTCCCATACGCCCTTTGAGAGAAGGAAAAGTTCCACCAAGTAGTAGAGCAGCACTGTCTTCTCTGCGTCGAACGGGGGTCATACATTTTCCAAGTGTTCCCAGTGCACAGCGGCATGTGACTCTCACAGAGGTCTTGTCACTGTATCTCAAGAGTGGTATGTATATATCTGGATGACTATAGAGAACAATTCTCTATCCTGTGCAACTGTGCCCCACTCTGCTGGCCCGCTGGCATCCCCAGTTTCCCTGGGTCCCAGAGATTATGACAAACTAACACCGCCACAGGCTTCCCAGTGCCCCTACAGGGGTGATGCCTGGTTCAGAACCACTGGGGGTAAGGGCAGGAATCACCAGCCCTATTTTATAGGAAAAAGATCAAAGGATTCACCAGGACAAGTTGGCCAGAGTTAGGAATTAAATCTGACTTCTACGGTCCTGAGTTCCTTGATCCATACGAGGGGGCCAAACTACATGATTTCAAAAAAACCGCACTAGCTCTAATCTAGAACCTGCTTTCTGATGCCTAAATCCAACTCTCATTACAGAATACTGGTATTAGTTTTCCAAGGGCTCAAATCAAGAATATATTGCCAAATCTTCTAGAAGAAAAAAATGAAAGTCTTATTAAAAAGATACATTTTTTAATAAACCACTAGATCAATTTTTCACTTGATCTTAGCCAAAATGCCGAGAAGTGATACATCAACTTTTCAAAAGGGGCCATAAAAACTAAATCAGTCTGAGAAAATGAGTGTGTACGTGTATGTATACACACTCAAAAACATAGGTTTTTATCTATATATCCATATAAAATTATGACTAAATAAGACATTTTATTCTTAAAGAAAAGGTCAATTTTATTTTCTAATGTTCTTTAAATAATAATAGATCTTTCAAAAAGGACCAGATTTATAATCATATGGTGAATTCACAAAATAATACTTACCAAATAACATATGACCATCTACTCTGTTTCTTATATGATTATTAAAAGTCTCCTAAAAGCTGCCTATCTAAAAAAAGGTAACGTATAGTTTTTCAAATTCTCCCTGGGCATAGATTATAATGTCATGTATTTAAAAAAATTTTTTTTAATGTTTTATTTTTTTTGAGAGAGAGAGAGAGAGACAGTGTGAGCAGGGGAGGGTCAGAGAGAGAGGGAATTACGGAATCTGAAGACAGGCACTAGGCTCTGAGCTGTCAGCACAGAGCCTGACGTGGGACTTGAACCCATGAACCCTGAGATTCACTTAACCGAATGAGCCACCCAGGAGTCCCTATGTTACATATTAAATGCACTTCACACAGGCTTCTCTGTTTCATTATCTGAACACAGCCATGGGAGAGGGAAACTGGGTGAACACTTCAGCAATGTTGGCAGGGAAAGTGATGATTTCTGGTATTTCTGTGTGTCTTAAGTATAGAAATTATAAGAATATAGAGCATCATTAAAATCTTAAAAAATAAAAGAAAGAAGTGAGAACAGGGGAGTACCATAGATACACTAGCAGTGTTGCGTGTTTATGAAATTTCTATACATACGGAGACTTTTTAAAAACAAATTTTTAATGTTTATTCTTGAGAAAGAGAGAGCGAGATGGAGCATGAGCATGGGAGGAGCAAAGAGAGAGGAAGACATAGAACTTGAAGCAGGATCCAGGCTGTGCACTGTCAGCACAGAGCCCGATGTAGGGCTTGAACTCACAAACTCTAAGAGTATAACCTGAGCAGAAGTCAGATGTGTAACCAACTGAGCCATCCAGGTGCCCCATGAAGACATTTTTTTAATGCTACATAGGAGCACCTGGGTGGCTCAGTTGGTTGGGTGTCCTTCTTTGGCTCAGGTCATGGTCTTGTGGTTCATGGGTTCGAGCCCCAATTTGGGCTCTGTGCTGACAACTCAGAGCCTGGAGCCTGCTTCAGATTCCGTGTCTCCCTCTCTCTGCCCCTCACCTGCTCACACTCTGTCTCTCCCTCTCTCTTTCAAAAGTAAATAAACATTAAAGACTTTTTAAAATGCTGTATAAAAACCCTTTATTTATATATTCATAAAAATATATGCACATATACTTGTTTATATAGATTACTAATTATAATAAGAAAAATGCCCTCTGGAATATCCATTTACTGCCAAATAGAGATGGATGTATCATTTAAAATGAGTTTGTAACGAAATCACTAATGAAACAAAATAATTACTTGAATTCCAAGTTCAATTCTATGCCAATTTCTCTTTCTTAAAGCAGAAATGGAGGAAAATATTTAAGATTCTCAAAACGAAAGTATCATTTAACCAAGTTAATTCAGTAACCTAGGTTACTGACCTGCAACACTAAATGTAAGTAAGAAGTGCAAAAAGTGTTTATATGTTTAAACAAAAGCATGTAACTGCGTGCACCACGGCAGAGATGAGGGATGGGGGAGGGCAGACACAGTAAAGAACAGACCTTGATCTACAGACAGTTTACATTTGCTTTAGAAGTGATGCTAACAACTGTAATCAAGCTTCCTAACTTACTGCAAAAAACTCAAGAATATACTTTAAAAAGACAACCTCACCCATTTGAGTTAAAGCAACAAAATGCTCAAAGAAATTAAAAACCAACCGTGCTGACAGAAGGCAGGCCTGTCGGAGGTATGAAAACCAGCAGCAAGAGAAGACCAAGAATTTGAAAAGAATAAATCAGGGGGCTATTTCCCTTGAACTGTCCTGAAAATAATCCTAAGAACAACGGAATAATGACAATCAGATTGAGTCTGTCATTAAAATTATATTTCAAACTGTTTAAGAATGTAAAAAATGGGGGCACCTGGGTGGCTCAGTCGGTTAAGCATCCGACCTCGGCTCAGGTCATGATCTCAGGGTTCGTGGGTTCAAGCCCCATGTCGAGGTCTGTGCTGACAGCTCAAAGCCAGGAGCCTGCTTCTCTCTCTCTCTCTGCCCCTCCTCTGCTCGCACTTTGTCTCTCTCTCTCTCAAAAATCAATAAATGTTGAAAAAAATGCAAAAAACGTACAATAAATCTTAGATTTTTCATTTAAAATACTGTTAAACAGATTCATCACTTTTAAACATCAATAAAAGGGTAAATGTTACTTAGCTAGAATGAATATGAAATTATTAGCAATATTTTAACCATCCTTTATAATGTCAAATAAATTGTTACTCTAGTAAATTCCATAAAGGAACAAAACAGCAAATTATAAAAAGGAGTCTTTCCCAGGACATCTTTGTCAGGAGAACTTTTTAACTGACACCAAGTAATACTCCCTTGATATGTCATTTTGAAAATATGGCGTACGTGGTCCCAAAAGGCAGATTAGTTTCTGTCCAATGAACTGAAAAAGGCACAGTAAGATAAACACTTCAAGAGAGTTTCAAACACCTTACAGAGACCTGAAGTCAGCACTTTGTCCCAAAGCGAATAGCTTGGGACATTCTTTGGGAAGACTATCTCATAGTTAACCCTATTTTCTAAGATCCGAATAAGTCTAAGAGTCTTCATTTCATTTTCTGACTCATGATCCCACGTGCGGTCCCAGGGATTAGTCAAGAGGATTTTGTTAATGGAGGTCAAGAATTCGGCAAGAATTATGGGATTCATTTTTTTCCACGCTGACCCACCAAAAGTAATGACCTCCAAATCAGAAAACTGTTCTTCCTACCAAACACAGAAAATTACCACAGCGAGCAATGAAGTGTGTCTCTCTATAAAACATAGGCTAGAGACAATAGGTAATTTTATGTGTTCAGTTGAGGAAAAGGAAAATAAGAAGATGTGTCCCAGCACCTGAACAGGAGTCAGTCAGTTACTTCACTGATTACAAATCAACCACGTCCAAGTTTTGCTTGGCCTTATGCTGCTGAATTTATATTTGTACATAAGCCCCACACATTTAAAGTTAAAAAAAACAACATAAAAGCTGTGAAGGAACTCATCAAACTGGTTATTTTTTTATGTTACAAAGTGTCACCTTTCGTGAGCCAAGAACTGATAAATGTGGGTCAGAAGTACGAGCTGATTGTACCTAACTAGGTAGGTTATGTAATCCACAGAAACCAAGAGAAATGTCTTCTAAAAGAACTAAAGATACGTATCTTGTGTTCTTCCTCGTGGCTGGATGAGGTGCTTTATCAGAAGAGTCCAGAGACCCATTCGAACCATTTATTTAAAACGGTGTTCAAAGTGAAGATCCTCGTATTCTCTGTACTAATAATAGACCCCTTACAGTGGTCCCTCAGGCAGCTCAGAGCTGGTAGCTGTCTTGGTGTCTTACTACATCTTTTCTTTTTCTTTTTTTTCATAAATACAGATTTGTTTGTGAATATATGAATATGCAGCAAGACCACCCTGGTAGGGTTGCCGAATGTAACAAACAAAAATAAATCATAAAAAGTCCAACTCAAGTTGAAAAACGAAAACATAACGAGCTAATGTGGCTTGCTTTCAACTAAGTGGAAAGACATTCTTCTCTCACAAACGAGAGCAAAAACAAACATACAAAAATGTAAATTCAATTCATTATTAGAGAACACTCGAAGTTAATGATTCAGCTGAAATACGGAATAAAATATCGGTCTCCTTACTTTGCATTTATCACCCGCTTCACAAAAACTAGGTCAGTTGCCACATATGGTAAAGCCTGAGTCCCGCTGTGCCTGAACTAAGTGTGCTCACTGACAGGAGACTCACACGTGCCTTCAGTTGCCTACAGTGGGCTATGAACCCAAGTCTACACACAATTCTTTAAATTTACTGTAATTACAAGACCCAGGAAGACTGCTTGTACATTTCCCTGAAGTTTTTAAAACGCGGTGTCTGATTACACAAATCTATAATCTAATATACTAAAAGCTATTCTAAGACACTGAAACATATTCAGATCAAGGACAGATTCTCCAGGAAAAGTTAAACTACCGTCAAAGGTTGACGTCTCCCGCAGTTCTAAATAGAAAATGCAGAAGATGTAGTCGAACAGTCAAAACTATTTTAAACTGAAAAGAAAGCTAAAAATTGCCAGCTAGATGCCAAACCACTTTTAACCCAAACAATACAAAAGTGCCTTTACCTTCAGCCATTTTGGTTTCTTCAATCCATGAGCGGTGTATATGGAAGACAAAGCTCCGGGCGCGGCCCGCAGGGACCAGCACCCCAGGGCCCTTCCCCACAGAGCCTCAGCCTGGCCACCTGCTCCGCGGACGAGGCCTCTAGAGCTGAAATTGGACCTGACTGCAACCTCCGGTCAGCAGCTATTTTTAGAGACCCCTTCCTCGTGGCCAAATACCGCTAACCGCTCAGGCTGAAAGGCCTCCTCACAAAGCGACAGCCAGCCTTCCCCCACTTGTGGGATTCCGCTGTCAGCCGGCCCTGCCTCCCCGCTCCAGACCCTAAAAAAACTCAAGCATGCGGGACAGAGAGACGGAACACAGAGTGCTGCCAGTTTTGTTTCCTTGGATGGGTCCCGAATGGTTCTAGCCCAAGTACCAAACCATTCAAAACTGCAGCACGCCTTGCGCTGGCACGGGGCCCAGGCCCAGAGCAGCTGCGTCTGGCCCTTCGGGAGCTGATCACATGCCTACACGAAAAGACCACCACTTAGTTTGTCTGAAAGAAACAGAACACTAAGTAACTAGAAACTAATTAATGCTCTAGGATTCTGATTCACAGGTATTACCGTCCCGAGTCTAATTCTAATGCAGCAAAAGTAAAAAATAAATATAAACAAAAATAAATAAAAATAAAAATGCTTCCCTAGAGAAGAAGGGAGAAGAAGCTGAGACTGGAAACATGGAGGGAGAGAGGGAGGGGAGAGACGGGGAGAGGGAGGGGAGAGACGGGGAGAGAGGGAGGGGAGAGACGGGGAGAGGGAGGGGAGAGACGGCGAGAGGGCTGACAGGCTGGAGGGGAGCGGGCGGGGAAAGGAGGGACCCTGTAGCACGGCAATCATGATCCAGGAAACAGGACCCCAGAGAAAATACTGGAAAGCCAGTGTGCAACTGTATTCTGATTTTTTCCACTTCCTTCCAACCCCAACTCCACACAGTCCCTTCTGGGAAATAAAACCAGCCCAAAGCTACTACCACTTACTCACTGACTTAAAATTAGCAGTTCACAGAAGCCATCAGAGCTCTGATTAGTTTATTAAATTAATTTAGCACAAATAGTATCAAGAACAAGGCGGCAACCTTCTAGAACTGTTGATGAGTGCTTACTTTTTTCTTAGTCAACAAATGCTTCACAAGCAAATTAAACATTTAAATGTTCTGAAGAGGAGGCAGCGCCTAAGGTACCAATAGTTGATGGCCAAGAGCTGACGCGGAGTGAACGAGGCATCAGGGCCAACTGAGCAAAGCTGATGACCCCGAGCCACTGCCCCCAGGCCTTTCCTCAGACCCGTCCCGCTGAAGCGAGTGTTTGCTGAAACGCTACATGACGGTGAATCCTCTGTTGGCAGGGAACGAAGATGGCCCACGGTCACACAGATGTATTAGACAAGTATCTCGGAGGCTTTCTCGCGTTGTTTTTAGGGAGAATGAGAGTAACAAGGGACCTGTCCTGGGGCCACAGGAAGCCAAGCCACTGCACTCACATGGTAGGCAGCCCACTTCAGACTTCAAGAAACCCGGATTCAGTTCCCGGCTTCCTCACGGGCTTGGACTGGGGGATCAAATCTTTGGGGCCTCAATTTCCTTGCCTTTAGAATGTGTCTTGGCATTAAACCAGGCGTGCAAATGTTTGTTGACTTCGCCATCCAACACGTTTCCAATAAGCCAATCAGGACACACGCACAGGTCTGCACACCTCCCGTCCCAGCTCCTGTCCGCGATGCCAGCCTGCCGCCACGACTGCCCGAGCCGCCGGAGTCCCTGTCTCCCTTACGGGCCTGGCCTCGGCCTCGCCAGCTGCATTCGAAAGTACGGGTCTGTGGCCAATGCTGGCCTGGGATGAGAGTCACACCTACTAAATGTGGGTGCTCCTCACCCCTGAGGCTTCTCCAACACAGCTCCAATCAACCCCCCTTGACAAATCTTCACCACACACATTTACACAATCTACCCCTTTCCCTTTTACAAGTTTTACAGGTTTTCTTTTTTTTTTTTTTTTAAATATTTTTATTTATTTCTAGGAGAGAGAGACACAGCGTGAGCAGCGGAGGGTCAGAGAGAGAGGGAGTCACAGACTGAAGCAGGCTCCAGGCTCTGAGCTGGCAGTCAGCACAGAGCCCGACGCGGGGCTCGAACCCACGAACCGTGAGATCATGACCTAAGCGAAAGTCGGACGCTTAACCGACTAAGCCACCCAGGCGCCCCACAGGTTTTCTTTTTAAAAAAAATTTTTTTATGTTTATTATTGAGACAGAGAGAAACTGGGGGAGAGGTAGAGAGAGAGGGAGACACAGACTCTGAAACAGGCTCCAGGATCCGAGCTGTCAGCACAGAGCCCGACGCGGGGCTCGAACCCACAAACCGTGAGATCGTGACCTGGGCCGAAGTCAGGCGCTTAACCCAACAGTGAGCCACCCGGATACCCCACAAATTTTACAGGCTTCCAACAAGATGACTTCCCTCCTAAGTGTCACAATAACGGCACACCTGCTATTCGAGGTAAAGTGAAGAGGCTAACTCTCTGAAATAACATTTAATCAGTCTCTTTCCTTAAGGAAAACGGAATTCTGAGTTCCAAGCAACTATCACTTATAATAATGACAACTTATTTTTATGACAGGAAATGTTTGTGAAACATGTAAAAACAAACTCATGTGCATATAGCAGATCATGGCTTTAAAACCTTGGCAATGGCAACCAAAGTAATAAATGATTCCTTGTCTTCGTTGCTGGGACTAACAGCGAATTCCTACATCCAGACAAAGACCGAGCTGTGACATGCGCTCTGAGAGCGTTATCATCAGCCCGATCGATGCCACTGGAGACCATACGAGCCAAGTCTCATGTCCACGGACCCCCGGCTTCACCTGCTTCCAAACATGCCAGGGAAGCCCACGCGCTGCCCGCGATGACCCCCGTCCCCTCGCCCCGGCGGTGGGTGTCCGCAGCAGCGGCTCTCAGGGGCACACCCGTCACCGGAGGGCCGGTCACAACGCACACTGCTGGGCCCACTCCCCGGTGGGGGCCTCTGGGGCCGAGAACATGCGTTCCGCACGGGTTCCCAGCCGGGTGGCGGGAGGCAGCCGGTCCCGGCACCGCACGAGAAGGGGCCACTGCGCCACGTCCTGCGCTCGCCGCCCGCACTCCCGGGGTCCGAGGCGGAGGAAAGGAGCGCCCGCTCTTACCAGTTTCCCGAGCACCCTCTCCTCACCGCCTAGGAAAGAAACAACGAAGCCCTGACCCTCCGAGGCCCGTGCCATCCGGTCACACTGCCCCCCAGCCCGCCTCGCCACGGCCACTGACCCCCTCCGGGGCCTCTCCCTCCCCATACTCACCTCCAAGCTAGCCATGACCACGTGGCGTCAAGGGCCACCTGTGGCAAACGCGACAAGTTCTCTCTCCTTCGTTTCCTCACCCCCGCTGACCTTGCTCCCTCCATCCTGAATCCAACACTCTATTTCCTTTTTTTTTTTTAAGTTTATTTAAGAGAGAAGGAGAGAGAGAGGGAGGGAGAGAGAAGGAGAGAAGGGCCGGGGGGAGGGGGGAGAGGGAGAGGGAGAGGAAGGGGGAGAGAGAGAGAGAGAGAGAGAGAGAGAGACTCCAAAGCAGGCCCCGCACTGTCACCGCAGAGCCCGACACAGGGCTCGAAGTCACAGATGTGAGGTCAGGACCTGAGCCAAAACCAAGAGCTGGGTGCTTAGCCAACCGGGCCAGCAGGCGCCCCCAACAGTCATTCTTCCATCCCTCCCGTGGCTCTGGTTAGAAACGCACCCCACTCCCCTGCCTGATCACACGTCGTCCTCGGGGAAACCTCTGTAGCCGGGCTGGCACGTCCATCTTCACGGATGCCGCAGCCCCGCTAAGCAAGCTGTTTGCTTGAGTCCATCATGGCAACTGCATGATATCCTAAGATGGCAGAAGTCTGTTTCTTCTCACACACACACACACACACACACACCCCTCCTCATCTACCTACAGTCTCCACAGCAAACATGAGCAACTTTCCCCATCTGAAATCTTATTCTTAAACAGCCAACATTACAGACACTGACAGAAGGCAACTGTGCGGACACTGAGGAAACCCTGCGTACGCACCCCTCCCCGGCGGGGGGGCGCCACCTCTAAGAGTGAAGCTTTGGGCTGTACCGAATATGTGAGGCACAAATAAAGACATCCACCCGGGTCACACACCCTCCTGTTCTTCCAGCCTGTTTACTCAACAGTTTCTTCTTGGATCCCGTAGTCCTCTTGCTGGTACTTTCTTCTGAACTCCCCCTCGCCTGCCGTCTTCACACCTTTCCACGTCCACGTGGAGAGTCCACGGTCCATCAGGGAAGTCACTCCTCCGTTCCTTCACTGCGCCCATCCGCCCTGACGGTCCCCCAGGCCGAACACGCCCTCACGCTACGCGCGGCCGAGAGGCGCCCCGGAAGCAATCCCGCACAGCACACGCCGCAGCCAACCCCCGCCAGCCCCCGGGCCCGCGTCTCTGCACCACTCCCTTCCCTGTTCTCCACAAGGACCATGTCAGACATCTCTGCCCCTCAAGAACTCGATGCTCTCCCACGCAGACGATGCCACAGGCTCCGACATCACAGAAGACAGAGCACGAACAGGACACTGGGCTGCACTGCCGCCCGCCACAAACCCACACTCACCAGCATCCGCTCTCCGTCCGCTTCCCGGTTCCTCCGCTACCTCACCCTCCTCACCCCTTCACTCTCCCCTCCATCAGCCTCTCCGCCTTCACTACGTCGTCCCTCAAGCCCAGAGCCCCTGCAACGCCTCCTTCCCATCACGGACGCAATTCCCAACAGAGCTACTACTTCACTCCTTTCATTCTGTGACTCGCTGCTCACACCCCTCACGCAGGCTGCGATCCGGCTTCTGCACAGGGGACTCATCCTAACGTCACGCCCACGCTTTCCGTGTCACTGAACCCAACGGAACATTTTCAGTCCTCAGGTCCTTGCCCTCTCAAAGGCATTCTCTCTCCTTAACCATTCTGCTTCCTTGACTTTCTCTGCTTCTTCATCTCCGAACTTCCTACTTCTCCGTCTCCTTTGCTAGTTCACTCTCTTCTAGTTGACTGCTCAATGTGGAAATTCCATATGCTTTGGTCCTATGCCACCTCCCTATGTGAGTG